GTGTGTGTGTGTGTGTGTGTGTGTGTGTGTGTGTAAAGTCATGTGCCTTCTGTGTTTTACTTGATCTTCCTCTGTTCGAAATGCTTAGACAAGTTGAAAAGATGCTACTGTGGCGTACCTGTCAAGGGTACTAAACCACACTTGGCAGACTTCATCTAAGCTAATTTAACAACGCAGCACAATGTTGACCACAAGACAGAATGAGTTCTCTGATGACACAATAAAACCCCAAATATGTCAACTATTGTCAGATTTGTTTATGAAAAAACTCTTTTTTATTAATGTTATTAATTTGGCTTCAAATGCAGCAATAAAGTAAGTAAATCCTCTTTCAATTCTAATTTTTTATGTGTTTTATGTAACAGAAAAAAAACATCTGGTCCCTATTAGGTCACAACATTTTATACACAGAACCWCTGATGAAAACACACGTTTCTCTGTACCAGTTATTTAGAAAAAGTAAATTAAAATGCACAATCAGTGTGAAAAACCAAGTATACCTTGTACATTTGTAGCTTGTGTAATGCTCTTTAGCAGCAATGACCTGAAGTAGTGCAATTCAGTTTATTCATATAGCACCAGTTCATGACAAAAGTCACCTTAGAGCACTTTACAAATGAAAAGACAAGTCCAAATCAGAACTCCACTTTAGTCAGGTTGATGAGAGACTGAAAGGTGGCCAGGTGCTTTAAAACAAGTCAAATCATTACATTTCCACCCCCGTGTTTGAGAGTCTGTATGAGATGTTATTGCTGATAGGCTGGTTGGATGTCAGAGAATGGTGTTGTGAGTGATGGCCTTTTGTCCTTCAAACCCTCCAATGGACTCAGAAGTCTGAAGATTTATTGAAATCAAACTATCACAATGAGCAGATTGTTTTTTCACGGTAGAACCCAGAGTGCAGATGGAGTTGGGGAATTAAATTGAAAACAAACCAGGGAAACCAAAATGCTGTCTTGGCAGCAAACTACAAACAGAACACTCACGACTAAAACACGGAGAAAACAAATCACTGACGTGAACAGATTTCCTGCTGAAAACATGAACAGGAGAAGACGCTGAACCAAAGAACCAACAAATACACCAAGAATGTACAGACAAACCAATGAACCCCAACAACCAACACCTGTGCAGATACAAACAGAATGGGTGTGGTCAGATGAACATGAGCCAAACAGAAGAAAACAGACTGAACACAGGAAACAGAACCAAATACAGTATTCACAAATAACACAAAGGCACAAATCGTTACTTTACAAACCTAAACCACACTGCTATGCTCTTTGAGAGGGCAGAAGCAATACGGCAAGTCTTCAAAACGAGCTAAACTTCTGATACTAACCTGAGATTCTGAGATGAAGCACTTATAAAACTAAATAAGTAAAACTAGCTTTTTGTATTTATTGGAACATAAAAGCTTGGAATTCTTACCATTGCACTCATCTCCCATAAACATTTTGTCCTTCCATTCCACAATGTCCTATTTTTTCCTCTGACTTCACTCAGAGGCCTGAAAGAACTGAAAAGAAGGACGATGGAGTGAGAAAATGTCTAGCTGTGTCTCAGGGAATAATTTGTGAGCAATTCAGGAAAAAAACTAAAAGTCTTTCTTAGCCTTTCAGATGGGGCAGTTCTGTCAAGCAGACACTAATCTTACTTTGGATCTGTGCCTGCATCTGTATCTGTCAGCAGAGGAGTACCGAGGAGTGACCACGGTGGAGCTGATGAAAAGAGAAGGCAGCAGCCTTGGCCTCACCATCTCCGGAGGCTCTGAYAAGGATGGCAAGCCCAGAGTGTCAAACCTGCGTCCAGGTGGGCTCGCTGCCAGGTGAGATCTTTGCTCCGCGATGTTAGCCTGGACGTGTCATCCTTCTCCCCGCACATGCACACACTTCAAAATCGCCTCAGGTGTTTTATTAGATCACCTTCCTGTTGGTTTATAAAACACAAACACACAAAAAAATAGTTGTGCCCAAACTGTTCAAAACTCTAAAATTACAATGTTCTTTCAATCTTTATATGAGCTTATTTAAAAGCAACAATTATCAACTGCTGGCTCCCGGGTTGTTTTAGGTCAACAAGATCATTTTATGGCTTACACTGTTATCTAAATAACAATAAATTCCATAGTTCAATACAGAAAACACTTGTAGTCTTATCTTGACTCACCWGTTCAGGATATAAAAAGAAATAAAAAAGCTAAAAATCCTCATTAGAAGTCATAGTAGATTAATAGATTATTGGTCATTTCTGTACATGCAGATGTTTGCTCTATATACGTTTAGACCAGGAGGGGTCTGCAACCTTTACGATCAAAAGAGCCATTTCTGYTCCTTGTCTCACTAATAAAATGTGTCCTGAGCCGCAAAACAAGCTACAACTGTGATTATTAACTGGTGGTCCATGGATCTTTTCGTAGCCTTTTTGGGAACTTTAATGGTCAGTGGTAGCCTGGCYCTTGCCTTCCTACGCAGCTCCGCTCAATTCTAGTTTCCCTTCACTGCTCCRTCTGGGACTTCTCCCATTGAGATGGATTTCGCTGGCAGATTTTTAGCCGGGCCAATCAGAGAACAGAACGTCAATTTTCTGTGCAGTGCCTGCTTGTAGTTTATTTTACCTGGGCCAATCAGCAAACAGAAGGAGGAGTTTTGAATGACATCGATGTTCTGCGCAGTGTCTGCTAGTTAGTTTAGCATACGGCAGTGGAGGAAGAGAATGAAGCCAGTCTGTGTTGATAAGGCTTCCAAATTACATTAAATTTGTCTGACAAAGCAGCAGCTCTCATTTACAGTCGTCTCATTCGGCTCGGTATATTTCTCCTCTCAGTAGGGTTGTTTACAGCACACGCGATTTCCTGTTAGCTTCTTAGCTTAGCCTTCTTCACACCGAAAACACACAACATGCTTCAGCAGAGGCCACGCCTCCTGCAAAAAACGATTCTCTATGCAGCGAGTCCAGACCCTTGTCCGAAGCAAAGTGAAGGACAGGGTCTGGTTTTAACCAGGCTAGGTCAGTGGAGGTGACATTATAAAACTAAAGGAATATTGTTATTATYATATTATTATTTATTATTATACACATCAGGACAAATAAAAAGAACATTTTCATGTAAACAAGAAAAACTACTGTATATAGTTTTTTTTATTGAATTTCATAAAAACTAGTACATCTGAATTATTCAGGCATATTTATTTTCTAATTCTTATTTTYATAGTCTTCAAATTATTTATAGGTAATTCTGATGAATTTGAAAGAGAGAAAATTTTGAATCTTTAAGTAAACAACAGGCTAGCATGAGCTAACATGCTAAGTTTAATTTTTTTTGTATTAGTAGTACTGATCACATGTTTGCATTCAAATTGATTTCTGTTGTGGGTAACCCCCCCCCCCCCAAAAAAAGTTCTGTTATGTTTGGTCACGTTTTCAAAGAGCCACTGCAGAAGAGTCATGTGGCCCCAGAGCCACAGGTTGCAGACCCCTGCGCTAATTGGTAACTCAAAATTGTCCCTTGCACAGTGCCTCTTGGATATGGGCACCAGTGATCGTCTTGACTCTGAAARGAAGAAACAAGTAAAAGATATTGGAGGGATGGGTGGAAATAAAGGGCTAGATTAAATTTTCAGATTACATATTACCTGATACCTTTTACACTAGAGCTTAAAATTAAGATCATTTTAGGATTAAAAAGAACAGAGTTTGTCGCTGTTTTGGTCAAAGTTTGTAAATGATGAATTTGTGATCTTATGCAATATCGCAACATTTTGCACAATCTGTTACAGTGCTTAGCTATGTGTTGTTCATGAGCTAGCTACTGATTGCTTTCTTAGCTTGCTTTTAGTATTAAGGGACTTTGAAGCTTTCAACATGAAACAGCAAGAATCACAAACACCAGTAAGTAGCACATGCACTCACACCTTGAGTTAGAAAGACACAAAACTCTCCTAGGTTTTATTTTTTTTCTTTTGGCTGCTCTCTTTTCTTCTACAGGGGATCACTACAGTTTTATGTGGGATGCTTTTCCTGACACAACCTGGGCTTGAGCCCACAGCCTCCAGATTAAAATATTGTGGTGCTAACCACCGAGCTACCACAGCCCCTCACAAACATCTGCAAGTGTCTCAGCTAAAGCTGCCATTCCGCTTTAAGTTTTGATACAGACGCTGAGCTAATTCGTCAAAGCAGCTTGTCTTCACACAGCTGACCTCAYGCTCGCGTGGACGTACTGGTTGGTTTAATGGGTGGAGGCAGACAGGCGAGCGGACCGTCGTGGCGTTCAGCTCTCTGCTGCTGTCGCCTCTGATTGGCAGCAGCCTAAAGGTGAGAAGGCCAAGAAGAGCAGAACATGCATGYGATTAGCTCCGGAGTGAGTGGCGTGATGACTTAGAATGTCAGATGTGAGACACCATCCAGTCATCTCTGTCAGTGTCAGAGAAGAAGAGACTTTCAACCCTCTCACATCAAACTCTGTGCTGATTTTCCCTCAGTGTCCCTGCATGTTTGTCTACTTACTGCAGGGRACACCTAAAATAACTCACCACAGAGTTAAGATACCAGCTATTAATATTAGCAACTAGCATAAGGCTGGTAGTAATGCATTTGTATATACCTTTACAACTAATTAGCTTTTTGAGTCAACCCCCACAGCTTAAAATCGTTGCGAAAACAAAAATGGCTACAACTCAGTCCATTTGAATTAAAATTWGATGTGATAGTAGCTGAGCTGACCCATACTTTGAATCGAACACTTTGCACAATGTCTTTGCTTAAAAGCTTGGCAATAACTTGGGGAGTCAATCCAATCCAAGATGGCAGCCACAGCCAACTCAGTCACATTTACAGATATTGAGCTAAAGTTTYGGGTGGTAGTAGATGAAASTCATCAATGTGAGGTTGCTTTCCACTTTCACCAGTACRTAAATGGAAAATAGACCCTAATTGTTTTCTTCTTATTATTATTTTTCTGTCTGTAATAATTCTACAGGAGTGACCAGCTGAATATGGGAGACTACATCAAGTCAGTAAATGGCATCAACCTGTCAAAGCTCCGGCATGATGAGATCATTAGCCTACTGAAGAACATCGGCGAGCGAGTGGTGTTGGAAGTGGAGTATGAGCTGCCATCATTTGGTGAGTGATGCCCTGAGGTGAAAATGCTGACTCTGGAGGCTTTACAGCAAAGGTAGAACTTATAGTATTTTATGGCTGATCTTCGTGTGAAGGAAGGAACCTGGGTTTATATCATGTAAACCAGTGGTAATTATTTATCAGAGAATAGCTCATTTATTCAACAAAAATCTAAATGACATCATATGTTGTTATCTGCTGACATTCAGCCTGCAAGGTAGACTGACAAAACCACAAAGAAAACATTCATGCTTTCAGGGAAAAGATGAATGAAAGCTGTCACAACAGGATGTTATCATTAAGTTAAAGGAAAAGTGCTGTCAGGCTCTGAAGCACCAGCTCTAGTCCTTCTTCCTCCTACCTCTAAATTTAACACTTGTATAATAAAAATTCCAAAATTTTGTTTAGTCTGCAGGAAAAAAGTTGGCTTAAAAGCTTATAGATTATGCTTGATGTAATAAAATATATTTTTGGGAGGCTTCTTCCTCACTTTATTTTTTAGAAAAACACTTTGAAAAGCCACACATTTTTTATTAAGCTATGTCATGGGYTGGGCTACATAAACAGAAGTAAATGTTGTTATTATAAACTAAGTTGTTGTTACATCATCTGTGTCATTCAGTAAAGACTTTAAAAAAACACTTGTCAACTTCACTTGGATCATTTTATCACCTGACCCTCCCCAAAGGTCTGCTTTGCTCTCATTGGTCAACATCGTAAGAGTTGTAGGAAGCTTGTAACAATCTGAGGTGTTCCAAACAGGTTATAAAGCAGACATTCTGCAAATGTATCAATGAAGTCATAAATGAAGAAACAATACCTCTCACAACAAAATATAGAAATTAAAATACTTCTTCTATTTTACAGAAAAAACACAAAACAAAATGTTGAAAATCTGTTAAAAAAACACCTCAAAAGCTTGTGATTTCTATATAACAAACTAGATATCGCATAGCGGTAACATAAYGACCCCCGCACGCACAAATGCCACCATAACTCAGAAGTATTTATTCCTAATAAATGTCA